AGTAGCATGGTTTTACTGACAATTATAATAAAACTAATAAATATTCAAAAGGCGTATGGCTACTCGCTTGCTTATGAAGAAAGTTACATCATCTGCATGTCAGCCAATTCGAGCTAACAATTGCTTCAGCTATTTCAAATAGAGTATTATCTGAAGTGAAAACCGTAATTTGAGCAGCAGGAACTTACATTTGCAGTACCTGATATATGACATACGCAAATCTCCTTCCATACAAATATACAGTTCTATAGACTTTTAGTTAATTTTTTTTTTGTGCATTGTGGCTGTTCATGTGATATCACTGTTTATTCAATTAACTTATTGGTTTGTGAAAGTTATGACTAAAGAATGTTGCAAAGAGCAATCTGAAAGAAACTGCTCAGAAGGACTAGTTGAAACTAACCTGCATAATCTATGATAATGGTAAAAAGATAAGCGGCACAACTTTTCAAGACATTTTCAGTGATGATAAGAGCTTTGAAATTAATTGCAAATTTATTATTATTATTAATCTATTTTAGAATCCGATTTCACTCAGAAAGCTTCAGGGAACCATTATAATTTATTCTGAGTAATGTCATGAGTTAGATTACCGAAACCAAGATCATATTTCCTTATATTAACATAATTTTTGGCAATCATGCACTATATTAATTTAAGTGATTTTGCGTTGAGGTTACTTAAAACAAAGTTTCCAACTTTTATTAATACAAACTCTTCCTTTTGGTGTTAACAAGCGATCAGTACTGATGAAACGACTCAAACAAAAAATGACTATTATGACTGTGATGACTGTAAACGATATTTGACCCACATTGATCTTAGCTGATAAAACTTGAATTCCTTGCGTAAGGAATTGAAATTAAAAAGAAAAAATATGAATCAGCAAGATATACAAGAATTAATTTCAGTGTAAATTAAAAAGCTTGTTTGTGGATATAATAAAGTGGCAGTTGGTTGAGTGTCTCTAGTGCCGAATCTTTATATTACACCATCTCATGTTAGATGCTTATTGATGATAAAACTGTCTCGCTTAATCATCCACGTGAAGGATCATTTTGCTGCAACATCAATTTTTAATAGTGAAGTAACAGCAAATAATATCACCTGACTGTCAGTACAATCTTAGATTACAGAAAGTATGAGGAGTTCAAGATCCCTTTTTTCAGGAGAGGGACATAATAAAAATACGGTTCCAATTGACTTCCAAAAAAATTTATCATAATGTCCAGGACGTTTGCGCTTCATCAGAATCATTTGCATTTGTATCTGTGCCCCATTTAAACCTAACTGTAAATTTGCTGTTTAATTTCATAACCTTAGCTGAAATAGTACTTGCGCATCCCTTAAACATGTCTTGGAGTAGACGTGAGTAGTGAATTGCGTCACTGCATATCTGGACGCTAATTTTTTCCTTCACTTGTCTTCATCAATATTAGAAATCGATCAGAAAGTTCATTGTACCAAGCATCCTCAATTCTTACTTGTTTAACGATAGCATGCGCCTGCAATGCATAATTGCACTCATTTATGAGCTAAGTTTTCTTATGTCCTTTCTATTTTTCAAACTTTCGAGGATACAAACGCGTGTATTCATAAGTGAAAATTTATAGTCTTGACGCCAGTAATCTTGTTTTTATGTTATAATTTTGCGCAACAATTTCATGAGCTATCTAGCAGTACAAAGAATGCATGTTGTGTGCATTAAGTAGCCGAACTTTTATATTTGAACAGATATGCTCTCAGACAATTTAAATTAGCAAAAGAAATTTTTCATATCACAGAGATAATCTTTTTTAATATGTTGGAATAAAAATGAGGAAAATCTTTTTCTTCATGAAAATTCAATATCGTCAATGCTGATAAACACTTTCCGACTTATACTATGAATATTGACAATTTTCAGTTGCATTTAAGTCTTCTTTTTCCATATTTTATAAAATTTGATTTATTTTTATTACAAAATTGAAATCGATTCTTTTTCTACTTCTTATAACTTTATTCAAAATGATCTTACTTTTTTGATTTTGTTTCTTAGTTTTTCCATTTAAGTTTGTTTTGCTCATCAGCAGCTTTTGCCTGCATTAATAACATTGAAAATTGGTGAAGATTTTTTGCAGAAAATTAGATACTAGATGGCATTGTATTAATTACTTCTAGTACAATGTAATACTTATTTATTGCTTAGCTTATTTTAGTCGCAATACTTTTTCGTGGCAGAAAATATAATCCTCTAAAAATTAAGCAATGTCGCTTCATTATACGTGTTATTGATCCACAAAACAAACAACTGTCATTATCAAAAAATAAAAGAGACTCACGCAGTTATGTTTTGGTGATTCAAATGAAAGTACCGCATCAGAAAAGCAGCATGTTTTCTCTCGAAGCATATACTAGAATCATCAAAATGCTTTTAATGGTCAAAAAGAAAGAGGCTGTGATGCTTTATTCTTTTTATTCCCATATTAATTAAAAAAATCATTGATGTTGATTTACACTGTCGAAAACTGCCTCCTCCTCTAAATGCTTAATTGGGTAATAGCAGGCAACTGTTTGAAAATTTTAACTACGTACACGAAATCATGCAATTATTTGTGGGCGATTTGTGCAAGTGATGTAATATGAGCGATACTATAGAATGATTCGGGTTTTTGCGACAAGGAAGCGTTCTCGCAGTAGTGAAATTAACGACCCGAATCCAAATTTCAAAGTATAGAAGTGCTGAAGTGTTCAGCTGAAATTGGATGAATGTCGTGAAATTGACGAGTGGCTGACCATGTTCCAGCTTTGGCAATTTGTATTCACAAGCAATAACAATCGCTATAATCTCAATGTCATTGCCGGAGAATACCTAATTCCAAAATGGATAAGCCACGGAATTATAAGGTTTACCTTGACGATTTTATTTGATTATCTTCTATATACAGAAACGGTTTTATTTGATTGGCTCCGAAATGATTCCAAGCCATCAGTGATCACTCCATGGACTCATAAAGTTGTTGGCACAACATTTGTCAAAAAAAGGAATTTACTTTGATTATTTGATGAATAGTGCACAAAAACTTTGGATCACTACCTCAGTGATCCGCAAATAAATTTCCGACAATCGGAAGATTCCGTGTGACACCTTCTTAGCTGCTTTACTGCATTCATCCAATAATAGGTACCAATAATGTGTAAGTTTCTATCCATTTCTTAATTCCTGTAAGATTAATTAATAAACCAAGTACGAAATTCCGATGTCTCGATTTTTAAAGCTTTCGACTTTTAGAAGTTATTAATTTATGAAATAATTAAGGTTACATCAAAGACATGGTTTAAAAAAATAGGCGAGAGAACTATAGTATTGCACTACAATATTCAAATCACAATTAGAAATATTTTCACACTTTGCACCACTTTCAGATTTTGATTGCAAAGTAGTATTTGAGTGTAGGATGATGAGAGGAAAGGGTAAATCAAGAATCAACAAAGTTTTTCCACTACTGTGTGTAATGGGGAAATGATTTGTATAAATGACAATTTACAGTGACTAGAATTTGCAATATTAGTTTCTTTCGTTTTGAAAATCATTGAATTTCTCTGACGAGCAAGCTTCAGCAATTAAGAGGAAAATACTTACAAATATATTAGCACATTTTCCTGAAGTAATACAAATATTAAAATTTCAATAATAGGAAGTCTCTGTTAGGAAATTAGATTGTTCATAAAATACTCACTTCTGAAAACGACAGTGCTTCTCATTGCCTTTATCCCATAAAACTTCAAAAAATACATATGTATAGATTTAATTAACCAAGTTTGAGGTAATCGTGGACGATAGACTGCGCCTGATCTTGAAAGAAACGCGCTTTATTCTGTTTCTATTCCATTCTCTGTCCTATCTTTATTTTTTTGGCAATGTAATGATGCGACTATGGAAGTAAATAGCGGAAATAGTAGTGTGATCAGTTGCAACAACAAACGTAGTGGTAGCGACAGTCAACGACGCCAGAACGGTGAAAATGCTAGCAATACGAGAGAACATTCCAGCATTCAAATAGGTCAGTTATCTAATGGCTGGGAACGCTTTTTGAAGAATCTTCCACATCACAGGCGACTTTCAGAAAGCGAGCAGTAATGATAATGCTCATGAAACTCCTTATTGCAGTACTTCTGAAGCAACGAAGACGAAACAAAAGAAGGATAAAAAAGAATGACTTGTATGGGACGCATCCAAAATACCCGGAATCTACTTCGAGGAAAATAAGCTATATGAGTCGAAAGTTTATGTAAAGCAGAAATACCTTGTATTGATACAAGAGGCTTAAGGACGTGACACAGATAAGACAAAATGGGACATGGAAAATAATCCCGGAGAATGTTGACCCGCTTATTCTTGGAGCTGTACCAAATGGCTGGTGCATATACCACACAGAACCCCTCAAATCAGTGACTGATATTGTGCCATCTGGCTGCAAGGAAGCTTCAAGTAGCACAAACAACAGTATAGCAGGTTTCTGAAATTTCTCCATGATGATAGCCTCTATCCGCCGCTTTTTGTGTCGTGCATGGATCCATTAAACTGTGGCTTGATATGAGATACCCAGAGATGGCGGCTCCTACCGATCAGGAACTTTATCAAGGCAGAGAACAGCACACCATAAGTTTGATAAATTATTATATTGGACTGTTCAAATTGTAACCACAAGACTTCAAAATTATAGACCATATTAGGTAATTATTGAATAAATACGGAATAAATAATCAAATTACGTGTTTAGAAAGACTGAGGGATGAGCTATGACGTAAAATTCTTAATGTTTAATATAGGAGTGAGCTTATGCTTCCCCAAATACGTAATATGTTTGGAGCTGAGAAAGTTATGTGCCAACATTATAAGGAACGTATGAAGACGACGGACCATCTAGCAACGCGGTGCGAAAAAATGTTATTTCTCGAACGTAGAGATCATAGTCGATAAACGTGTCAGGACAGCTATAAAGATAAGTGCAGATCAACCAGATATCATGATCTATGATAAGATATGACAGAAAGTGATCCTGATAGAAGCTGGCATCAGTGGTCAAAACAGGCTGATAGCAGTCGAGATCAAGAAAAAGTGAAAATATGATCTACTAGCTAATAAACGAGATGAAATGCAAATCGAAAATAATTCTTATGTGATGACTAAGATTATTATCAGCTATGCAGAAATAAATTTTAATCTCACACGAATTAAGCTAAATGTATTTGTTAATAGCTTCAGCAAATAGATTACTTACAATTAAGCACAGAAGTAAATCAGATATGTTTCGTACAGCATTCAAGTATCTCATCACTAACTGACGGTGCATGAATAATAAATAATTGTGTAAAAATTGGAGGAAAATGAACGAAAAAAAAAAGTAGTTCTTCATATGCATTACTTTTACCTGCTCTAAGAAAATGCAAGTTTGCTTTATTCACTTGCAAAATGTTTAGGTGGGGTTAATGTTTCTTGTTCTTGACTTTTCGCAAAAAAAGAAAATACCAGGAGCAGGGAAAAAAATGTAAATGCAACAAGCATGGTGCAACAAGAAACATATTTGGAGACCGATGTCACTGACTTATTTTTAAAGTATATCTGGGTGCACATTGTAAATGTGTTTCGTAATTTGTGAGATCTTTTTAAAAGTTGAGGAAAATATGGTTTTAAAAAAATAGTACAATGTTATCTTCATGTTATAACGGCCTTGGAATATTCGGATGCGAATGATTCAAATCACGATAGGAAGTATCATTAACCCCATGATCAACCGATAAGTCAAAATTTGATAACTGGAAATATCCAAGGTGAGTTTTTCACTGCGACTAACATGCTAATGGAACAAAGATGAAATGTAAAATTTATGCGACTTGAGTTGTAAACAGGTGCAATGCTGGTATGTTTTTATCTGATATAAAAGTGAGTGAAACTCTGGACTGTCTGAAGGCGGTTGAAAGTCCGTCGTATTGCATGTAAAAGTATGCACTATTTTCTTAAGATGTATCAATTCCCATTGGTGGTTCAGAAATGAACAATTGTCACGTAAGTTATCAATCTTTTAGTTTTTAAAAAACTGGTTTATATTTTACTGCTTCGAAATGATTTCTTTTCAAAATAAGAAACAACAAAAAGTGCCAATGACAGAATAAAATTCTCGGACTCACTTACTATCATTTGGTAATTGCTAAATCTAGTGTCAGAAGTGGGAGCACAAAAAAAATGAAAAACGTGAATATTTATTGTAATCCCTCGAAGGCAGTGGAGTCAATTTCAAAGCTGATCCATGTACAGATGATGTTTATAGTATGAAACGATATTGACATCATTTTATCAAAAAGTTATTGAAATAGCTTCTTGGCATTTCTCAACTCAAAAAATAGACAAAGTTCCTGCATGAACTTTTGGTGTTTTTTGCACATGTCATGCATTCATCCTTCGAAAGCTACAGTGATGAGCATAGAAAATCGAAGGCATACTTTGAAATAATGATTTATATTCTTCGAAGTTTACTAGAAGTTATTTAAGGACGACTCGCATCCGTTCGCAAATTGATTAGTTTGATAATATGTGCGTCAAGCAGGCTAAGGATGACTGAAGCAAACCTGTTTGTTTCTTTCTCGTTCTAAACTTTCATATTCGCAATCATTCATTACCAATTTTGATTTCAGATTTAAAAGAATATAAAAGAACTAAACATATGAAAGAAATCAGCTTCGAATTTACTAACTTTTCAAAAGTATCTGAAAGTCTTTCAATTATTCACTACCAAATTTGGTGAAAAAAAAAGATTTAATAAACGATGTAGTGGTATTGAATAAAAAAATATACAAGTTTTCATAAGAAGTGGGACTGGAGAAGAAGAAAGACTGAAAATAGATCCTTGATGCAACTATCTAACTGCTAACTTGAAATAGTAATTATCTTTAAATGGTCTGAAAATTAGCCTCTCATACGGTTACTTCTATAGCATTTAGCGAACTAATTAGACATATGAGTTTTCTTTCTCTCCGCGTCTTCAACCGACTCTCAGAATATGACACTATTAACGAGCCAGTACTACTTTAATGCAAAATTATCATTATAATCATTATTATTTGTACTTATTTACTTGTTTATGGAATGCATCTGATATTGGTATTGAATTAATAGCAGCATAAAAGCTACTGCAGGATTACATATTTTGTGAAGATGCATTTGAAAAACGGCATTAAGTATTATTAAAATGCTCCAAAAAAACTGAGTATACAAATGAATACACAAAAAAAATTGAGAATTTCTTTAACTTCTGTGGTAAAACTTAAAATTTTATGAAATGAAAGTCAAGATTTGCTCTACCAATGTTGGCAAATTATGATATTTTTTGTAGACAATTCCTAAGTCATCAATCTTCACACAGTAAACTTGCTTTTCATTACCAATGAAATCTATAGGGAGCTGTTCTAAATTCTTCAATAATGCGCCTATACGATGCTCATAAAAAATGAAATAGCAATTTGAAGAAACATTGAAACCAAATTGTGCATATAATGAAAGCAGTTTCATGAAGCAGATGCAGATTAGAAAAGCTTTTCAAATTAAAATCAAGTCTGATCCTAGTATGAAAAATCTGCTCTCTTCTTGTAACATAATTTAATTTCATGCATAAATGACTGAAGATTATTTGTAAACGGGTGCTGAAAGGTGAAAATACCTCAAAAGCTGATTTATGTAGAGTTCCGACTAGTGCTAACAAATTTGTGACTAAATAATTTATAATAATGTGCATCATAAAAAATAGAAAACAAACGACCGTGTGAATGAAGTGACAATTTGAACATAAAATTATGCTTCTAATAGTGCAATCTTGAGTCATGTTTTTAAGTGATTAAATCCAAAGTAATCTGTAATTAGCAACTGAGTTGCGGCTCACATTACAGCACATCTACAGAATGTTTTTCATAAGAGAATAAAGCTAACAACAATTTTTTTTAAATGAAAAACAGAAGTACTGATAGCCTTACTTTAACTCTACGCATTATTTGCTGAAGGGAATTAATCGTTATAGAACATCAATTGCTTACTATAAATCCAATCTAGAGTTGTAGTAGAAGAGTAATTGCTTATAAGCACTCATTCTAGATTTTAAATAGTAAACCAAGAATTTTAGACCCACCTTTTATGATAGGTATCACTTCATATCTACAATATTAATGCGATAAATTGCTGAAGACAAGAATATTTGTATGAAAGCTTTTGTATGTTTTGTATGAGAAACAAGCATGGTCAGCTATATTATCTTAGAAAAAATTTTCAGCGATAAAAGTGATAAAACTGCAGCTGAATAATCATTATAAGCCGAAATATCTCTTGTCTTCTTTAGAAAGCATTAACTGAATAGCTATTGTAGAGAAATCAAGAGAAGTAGCACTGCGTACCATTTGATAAGCATTCTCATTTTAAAGCAAATATAAAGATTGCGAAAAAGCCAAGTTCCAAGATGAAAATGAATGCAGTTGGATGCTTTGCTGTGTTTCCTACTTTCCCGCCGTTACAGTGAAATAGTGAAAAGCTGCAAAAGTGGTTTCTAACACGTACAGTAATCAATAATATTGGATGGATAGATTTATAAAATTTTTGTAACTATTGGAGAGACAAGAAGTGAAAGCTAATAAAGGAATAAAGTGGAAGACTGAAGCTCGGCAGCGATGGAATGAGCATGAATTGGCCCAGTCCTTTCTCGTTTCATCAGGCGGGCTAACACTAATGACACGAATGAAATGAAAAGAGACATGCAAAGTAAAACAAAGAAGGGCAAGCGATGAGTGGAGTGCTTCAACGAGAAGCATTTTTATTATTTGGGCTTAATTAAATGAAGCAGATGCCAGCGCTTTGTGCTCAGTGCAATCATTAAGTATTGACTGCGGCTGCCATAAACTCGCATGTTTTCTGTACATGTTAGTTCTGCTTCGCTGCACTGCAATTCAATAAGCTGTCATTCATTCTATTGCACGTAACGATCACTTATTGTCTTTCGTTTCTTGCACTCATTTCAGAGTCATTAGCTAAGCTTATTATGGAATCTCGCTCAAACTGAACAAAAAACCGAAACTCATTTGCTTCCTCAAATTCAATTCCTGCCACTTTTCACAATGTTCTAATTCAGCGCATTTTTTAGTCCAATAATAAATTAATTTCAATCATTTGCGTATCGACAATTAAGCTCATTTCGTTGTTTAGTTGACAGTGTTATAACTTCACCAACAGTATGAAACGAGTGTTATGAAATAAAACTCCCTTGCTGTTCAGAAATTCACTCCAGTTCAATTAAACTAAATATTTCACCATTTTCATTTAAAAATAAAGTTGGCATATGATGGATTATTATTTTTACTATTTATTATTATTGTTATTGTCCATTATTTTTATAATAATTATTATAATTTTGATTATTAATAATAGTAAATAATTTGTTAATTATCTAATTATAATTACAATTATAATCATTTTTTTAATCATTACTATTATTATTTGGTTTCGAAGACATTCCTATCAAGGCTTTCCTTCTAGGCAAATCTCTTTGAGATTCATGCGAAAGACCTTGGTAATTTTTGCAAAGCAAGTGAAATTTGGAATTCGAAATCATGAATGATCACGATCAATCACATTAATTATCTATTTCATGAAAAGTTCCGCTCATAATGATCCAAATTTTAATATTCATTTCCCAATTTTACTTTACTATTCCTAAATTTTCAAATTTTTAATGCCAACTTTTCATTATTATGGCTGGTGGACTTGATTTTCTGTTACACTGTTTCCTTTCTTTCTTATTTGCAGAATTATGGTGCTAATTTTCGGTACTTGTTCAGCGCCATCTCGTACTGAAAACGAAAACGAATTTGGCTGGCTGGTGATTGAAATATTTAAGTATTACAATCGTTTCTCATAATTATCATGGTAATTACTACTCAATATAATTAGTTAATGCTGTAAAAGTTGGTCATCTTCAACATTCCCATTCTCTATCATTTCTACAGAACTGCTATTGCTTTCGTTTTATACGTGCTAATTCCTTGTTGACTGCTACCGGTTGCTCAGCCTGTAATGAGAAGTACTTTGTTTCGTATACCTTGAGTAAATTCTTCAACCTTTTCCTCAGTCAGTATTTATGCTCATCATTGCAAGCTTCGTAGTTATGATACGTGCTATACTGACTCAATAATTATGATTTCAAGAAATTTATTCAGTAGACTGTGTTGTTGAACAAAGAGCTGTCGTTTTTTACCACTTTTGCTAACAGTTATCAAAAATTGAAGCTGCATACAGTTTCTGATTCACTGAAAGCCAAGGATAATTGTAAAAATCATCTCTTTTTTGCACTTGTTCATCTATCTCTTCAGTACAAAGCTTTTTCGACTTTCGAATGTGTTACATCGTCAAACCATTCATTTTTAACTTACTATATATCTTTGATTTCGTTGAACGTTTAATTGAATGAAAATAATGAAGCCAACACAGCACAGTGGTTTGATAAGAAATGATTCAAACTATTTGAAGACTTTTCACTGCTTGGTAAAAGGTATTCAGAATATCCTTAGAACTAAAACTATCTTCCTAATTTATTTTTACATTTTATCAGTGATTTCAGTTCGAAATTTTTTTTTGGTCAGAAGTATCTCAACTATTCTCATATCTCCAAGATGATGATTTTGAAACAATTTTTGATTGAGAATTTCAGCAAATACAAGGATTTTTTATTGAGATATCGCTATCACTGAAGGCAATTTTAACGGTTCTGTCGAGAAACTAATTCCAAAAGAGGCGGAAGTTGTAAAAGTTGCTTTTTGGAATACTGTTGGAAATGCTTGTTTTCTCCGATATTTTGATTTTTTTTATTGTGCCCAGCAAATCAAATAAGTACTTGTTCAGAGAGTATTTTATAAACAGAATATTTTGTAGCAAGTTACCTAGAACAAAGTGATATTGAATGGAATACTTGCCGATAACGATTGCAGGTGCAAAAGTATATGGTTAAAGCGATATAGCAATTCATGGAGGATAAAACATTAAGCATCTGCCATAACTATTATCGTTAAATATAATGAAAGTGTAATGTTAAAATATATAATCCCTACGACAGGAAATTTAGGAATGATGAGTCCGTTGCAAAGTTTTGAATTGAATTGTTGGCTTTTCTTAGGAAATATGATGTTTAATATAAGATGCGATTATTTATGCTCAGTTCTTCGCCAGTCGTAATACATTTTTTTATAATTAGTTCCACCTTAGTTTTGGTTTTAGAAAGGAGTTTTAAAGTGGGATCAAAGTTTGATTTTTTCGCTGCAGATATTGTTATATGATGTCTTGTGATATTTTTTGTAAAAATACTATTAATTGGAGTTTAGGAATATCTTCCTGAATTTTATGCCAGATTTTTCCGTGAATGCCCAAGCTGTTTTATCTGCTCTATTTGAAATTTTCGAATCCCTCTGACGTCAAAAAGTGCTCGTTGAAAAATGAAGCAAATGAAATGTAAATTTAAAATCTATGATCGTAATGAAAAACTAAAGAAGTTCGGCGTTCAAAATGAAGCGCTGGTTTTTAGTGAGATCACAAGAACTTTTACTTGTTGTGTGAAGAATAAAACGTTGACCTTGTTTAACTCGCTATACAGTTGTTAGAGGAAATAAAATTTTAAACAAACTTACTAGAAGATATCAATATTTACCTCTTTCAATTTATTTCATGACTGACATAATTTTGTTCTTTTTGCTTTCCTCTTTCTGATTTACTTTTAAATCAATTATCGGAATATATGGTGAAGCGATACTTGAACTTAATTTCGATTTTCACTTGGTATATCAGTATCGCTGTTTCAAGTTTTAGTCAAACTTTTTCAGATCCAGTCTATGCTATAAATTGTATTCTTTTGGCGCATTTTTTTAAAGTTTAGATTGTCAGCTCCCTAACAGCTGATTATCACAAATTTGTCCTGATTAATATCAGCGAATAGCTTTATTTCATTCTGCCCGCCACGTTTTCTCGCCAATTTCTCAAAAATGTTGATAGCAATCATACAATTGGGCTTTTTTCAATTTCTGCATTATTTGACCAAAAAATCTTTCGCCTTTATTCTCATATTTAATAGTTCTATAGCACTGAATAAATTACACATAATGTCACGTCGAAAAGTAACACATGTCAGTATTTAATTTTTATTATTAGGCAGTGGTTACACTTTCATTTCGCAGCTATCAAACATTAGTAAAATTTCCGCCACCCATATTAGCCCAACAATATAATCCAAAGCAACTAGTTCGTTCTTTAGGTTTAATTAACATTTGCTCCAAAGCACTTAAGAAACGATACAGAATATTTTATTCATGTAATGAGCATATTTTTTGATTACTCAGAAAATTTCAAACTATAAATCAGTCCTATATGCTGCTACATTAAAAACCACTCATAGTTTTATGATTAGCTCTAAAATTCAACAATTTTCAACCATTTTGGATGATCAATAAAGTTACAAAATGAGATTCATTTAAGTTCGCTCACTTGATTTTAGCACAGAATGTTTAGTTATTTTTCTTATGTCACCAATCAAACTAGTGACTAGGAGCATACTAAAAAAATATAATTTTATTCATTTTCATTTACTTTGTTTTAATATACGTGAGAAAAAATTGCAAATCAGACAAATATTTGATAAAAACAAGTGATAAGCACTATGAATATCTTCATCTTTTGCTTACAGTGTATAATGTTCCATGATGTCATGATCTCAATTTTGATCAATTCACCTGCAATAATTACAGTTACGAACTTTTTACATATTCAAACAAATTTTCACTGCTACATAAAATTTGTCATAATACCAGAGTTAGTTATGAATAAGCTATAAATGAGCAACGTTTTTAAAAATTATTCGTTTACATATGAATACTGTTAGTATTTTATATACTATTATACGCATACTTTCAGTAATAATATGGACATTAGATTTTTTTGTGAATCCTTTAAAAGTTGTCAGACAAATTTTTACTGCTTGAAAGTGAAATCGAGTGAACTTAAAACCTTATCACTAGAGCCTTTTGAGTGAAGTCTGTGAACCGGATCAGTCCTTTTTTTGTGGAACAAATAGATGGGTAAGACCATGTACTTCAAGATTGACCACGGAAATAAGTGTCGCGGAAGCAACTAAATACATTGATGTAATTCTTTAAACTAGTAATTTTAGTAATGTATTAGTACCATTTTCAAATAAACACTATTTTGTACTTTATCAGATGATCAAATTTATTTTTTGTATCATCAATGACGGCTCCTCCCAGTTTTCATCAATAAATACCATCAACTGAAAGCGACATAATTTGGTTAATTAGCATCGATTTCATATTCACATGGTATATACTTGCTAGTGTAAAAATATTTGTAAGATTTTGTTCCTGCAGTAATTACCTGAATCTCATGATTGAAACAACCAGCTGTGATACTTGTTAAACCAATGGTTTTCACAGCATCTCTTGCAAAATCGTCTGCTTTTTTAACAAATAATGATGTATGTTCACTATCATAGCGTGTCATTTTTGTTGATATCAAAGCCGGTGTCAAACACTGAACTTTAATTGTTGACCACTCACGATTAATTGACTCACATAAGAATGTCAACATGACCTAAAAAAGTTTTCATTAAATACTCTGGCCACATTTATTGAAAAAATAACGACATCATTTTTATCAAAAACTTCTGGTTACCATCACTAATACCAGTAGAACATTACAGTTATAACAATGAAAAAGTCATTTAATTACCATTATTACTGCTGAATAAAGACAAGCAGAAGTCTGTGATAAGAATACTATTATCGGTAAACACTGAAATCTGTGCAAACTTACTTTCGAAGCGCAATATGATGCGATTAATGGAAAGGGCCGGTAACCCTGACTCGATGATAAAACAATTATTTGTCCACCACCATTTCTTTCCATTGTTGGTAAAACTATTGACAAAAACTGAAGCGAAAACCAATCAACTCGTAAAAAACAATATGACGCGTGTTTATTAAAATAATGCCTTTTTCGTATATTCCGGATTCATTTCAGAAAAAACTGAGATCCCAGTTCGCATTATTAATTTTCATCAACGTATTAACATTATGAGCGAAAAAATTCCAGACAGTCACAAAAAATGACTAAAACTACGATACGAAAAAAGGTTCTATATTCAAAAGAACAAGTCGAAAAGTTCCTTAGTAGAAATAAATTTAAGTGAACGATTTTTCAATAATTGTTTAATAACGTTTTTTATTACATACATCTGCGGCGCCCAGTCCGTTTACTTTGAGTATTTTATGGTCAGCTTCAGGATTTTCACCATACCGCTCCATTTGTTCTCGTCCAGTGCCAACACTATTCACTGAAAGTGATGATGCTAACGAAGATTTTAGAAAACAGGCTACTTAACCACTCAAAATATTATTAAGCATCCAATAATGAATTGCAAGCGATATTAGAGGGAGATTAATCTTCTATGTATTATTGATACAGTGAGTGTGAGATTCATTAATATTCGCAAAAAGTTTTATATATAAATATATATAATCAAATCAATATCACATGGAGGTAAATCTTCTCTTCTACATAATTGATTCTGGCGTTAGATCGTATTCTGGCATTCTGGCTGCATTCGCCCTACGGTCAATTCTACTGTGCCGGTCTCCGTTGCTTCTATTTCACGTCTAGATAAACCTTAAATTTATGTAGCGTATTTTCCTTGCAAAAGATGTCAGGTATGCTTTACTGTCAATTGACCCGACCTCTACAAGGAAAATAATAACCACTTCTACAGTTCTGAGAGCAGACAGCAAAGCATGGTGGCGATTTTGGGCCAATAACTTATAAATCGAACCTTCACAAGTTGACAAAGAAATCGTCGGCTTAATATGAGGTACCCAAAGAAGGCGGTTCCCACCTATGAGGGAATGCATATATCGAACCATCTACTGATTGTGGATGATCTCAAAATTTTGCTACCGACGAAGATATCATGAAATCTCTGAACTTTTTTATTCATAGATTTTTTCATGCGGTAGGTCTAGAGATGGGGCAAAAAAAATTCAGCCACTAACACCGAGGTATGTGCTGATAAGGCGGCGCTTTTGGAAGGAATTCTAGGTATGAATAGCTTGAAATAGTGGAAGACAGGACTATTCAAGAAGTTACGGTAAAGTGCGAGCAGAGACTTTGGCGAGAACTGAACGACTAGTCAAAACAGCACTAAATGGCAAGAACTGAGCACGCTGTAAGTTTAACAAACTATTAAATTGTGCTGCTCAAACTGGAACCAGAAGACTTCAAAATTACAGACCACGATATCAGGCAATTACTAAATAAATACGGAAAACTTAACCAACCTGCTTGTTTGGAGAAGCTGCAATTTTTTAATGTAAGTATATACATATCTATCTAACTGTAGAAAGTGCCATATCTACCAGGAGGGCGGCAATTTTAAAAGCAAGAAAAGACTTAAAACACGCAATTAGCAGTTATTGCGCCCTACCTTCAGACTAAATGCAATCTCGTAGAAAATCCGACTGCCCAAAACGTATTACTAGCTCAAAAAGCACTCCTGTATAGCGAAATAGAAGAGAAAATTCGTCATGCAAAGCTATACAAGATGCGCAGAAACGTCAGATTCATCAATGTGGATAAGATATGAAAACATTATCCCGCAAGATGAAGCACGATACTGTCACCTCCAAGACAGAAATATGTTTGGAGCTGAGAAAGGTATGTGCCAACATTGTGGGTAACGTGTGAAGACGGTGGACCATCTAGCAACGCAGTGCGAAAAAATGTTCTGTCACGACTGTACTGGAAGACACAATGAGGTCCTACAATGCATTCACTTGGGATTCTACAAGAAGTATGGTCTGAAAGCATTCCTGTTCATGCCAAGCCATTCTGTTTGTGGCGAATGAGAAAGTATTAGAACATAAATGCATACCGACTGTACATCATGATCCGAGATTAGGGTTGCCAGCACTGGACAAGACAGGTCGACTGCAGTTGAATCTAATAAAAGGTGAAAGTATGATATACCTGCTAATAAATTTGAGTCCAGATAACATGTAGGACGAAAATGATTCAATATATAATGACTTGAGATGAGATAGTAACGAGCTTCTACAAACGCTACGTGAAGGAGATCAGTATATTATATCATGTTGAAGCAAATATTCAAACGATAGTGCCCATGAAGACGTCTGAAAGTATCTAACCGCCGTGGATTTCACGAAAATGGAGAAACAGAAATCAACATAACAAATCAGAGCGCGGGACAAGTACAGCAGCCAGAGTGACGGAATGCGATCCAGCGCCAGAATCAATAAAGCGGGAAAAATATATATGTGTATAAATATATATATATACAAATCCTTACGGACGAAGCCAACATTGATATTATCGATGAATTTTCGTAAATCGTCATAATTCCCATCATAGAAATCAAACAAATAAGTTTGCACACGCGCATCAAAATTATCTTCTGAAATGAAAAAAGCAGAACTTTTTAAACTAATTTTAGCTTTAAGCAATTATCAATTTTTCACTTTTTGGGAAGTTGTGACAATAATAAGACCACAACAAAAATGAAATTACTGAAAAATGAATCAATTCTTGAGAATGACTTACTATCAAAATGCTGAATAAAACACTAGCATCGATAACAAATATGGTTAAAATTTAATTTTTACTCAAATATGTCTTCATATATTGAAGTTTTTCTTCATTTCGACCAATGAGAACAAATTTATGCAAACCATTCCTTGCCAGTTCAATAGTATATGCTTTACCAATGCCATCAGTGCCACCCGTAACTACTAAAATAATTTGTAACATAGTTTAATTATCATGATTCTAGTTTCTCTAAAGTAATTTATATACTGAATACAAAGATATTAAAATTATGTGATACATGAACAACTGACAATTAGATTAAAATTACTATAAATGTCTTAAATCAATCTTTTGCAGAACGAAACATTGATTCATCTTTTATCAGTTTGATATCTAAAAGTAAGTAAATTGCGTCCAATATTAATAAAACGTAATACTGAGCTGACTTGCATATTTCAGGTCAAAGAAACAAATGATGTATCATCTCCTGAAGTCCTCAGAGCGTGAGTATAAGAGAAATACAAAAATATGAATGAAAAAAAAGCAAGATTCGATAGTCTGTGAAAAAGATAGAACACCTGTCCATCGTCCTTTGTATGGATCAAAATTGGGTTTGTAAAATAGTGGAGCAATAACGTATATCACTACAGCTGAGCAAAATGCTATTAATGTCCGCAAGATACGATACAGCACGAATATTTTTAGCACCCAATAGATTAGATCTATCATCTGCAATATTTGAAACCGAACTGATGAGTTTTGTCTAAGATAATTTGCAAATTCCAGTTATCCAGAGGTATTACTGTCGCAATCAACTATTAATATCAAATCTTTCGCGATAAGCAGCGAATATAATTCCTTGTTTTGAGCAGCAAAAATATGAAAGAAATCTATAGTATATACATATAAGGCAGTTAATAAGACTTAAAACAGAAACATCAACAGTAAAAAAAACGAGTTGAGCGATAAAAATATGACGACTATTATTAAAATTGATAGTGATGTTTATTTTAATCATATCAGTAGTATGAGATCAATATTGACAATAAACAATAGCATCAAATAGTTGTAATTATTAGTAGTATCTATAATTTGTGGAACAATGCTGATAATGTTCGATAAACCAAAACACAAGATCAAAAAGAGTTCTCTCAATATCACTTTGATCTTAATAATTCATTTTTGATAACCGAATCTGAATCATTTCTTCAATATAAAATGCAAGGAGAAAGTAGAATGAATGGATAAAACAATTTGACAAAATATCACGACTCACGCCATTTGCGTGAGCTCAAGATTGATACCTGTATGATTTGATATGAAATTGCGGAAAAAAGCATGCTTGCTTTGTTTTCATTCAATCAAAAACTTGCACTAAAGTGATAGAAAACTACAAAAACTACTTTGATCTAAATTGGTAATTTTCTGCACATTTCAAAAATGTTCCTATGAATTCACAGTGCTGCCTGTACTATCAGTAAAAGCCAACAGATTTGAAAACATAACAGTTAGGCATGATTATTAGTGAGTAATCATATATTAGGTAGGATAAGATAGCAGCAGTAAAGATAAGACTCGAGAACTCATAATTTCTACAATCGTTCATGAACTATTACCAGCAATTATCAATTCATGCCAAAAAACAGTTGATTTACTCGACATCAAAATATTTTGTTTATTCGTTGCAAATGTTTTGATTGAATATAATTTATAATAGTAATAATTATTATTTAATAATATGAAATATTGATAATAATTATAACATTATTAATGATAATATTATTATTACCTATTTTTTAATGATAATAACAATTATTATTATTACTATTATATTATGTTATTGATTATTCATCTATTAAAAAAATAAAAAACCATGTGACCTTATCGACTAAGCATTATCTGATTAACTTAATATCATATTAGAAAGAATTTTTCCGAAATTCTTGTGGTTTTAAATTTAATTATAGTACATAACTAAACCATCAACTTTATTAGAAAAAATGACTATTTACAGATTTGAGCAAATTTCTGTTATCAGCAGTTCTGATTTTATTTCAACAACTGATAGGATTAATAATTAACGAAGATAAAAAGGCATTCTAAAAGTATTTAATCTATTTATCTGATGGCTAACAAGAAATACCGGTGTGTTGCAAAAAAGTAATTTTGGCAAGTCAGAGTGGTGTTTGCATTTGAAAGTTGAAATAAATGTTTCTAAAATTTGCGAGATTCTGTAAATAACAAGTTAAACATTTTTCACTAGGCCAGAAACATAGTGGTATTAGTGAATGCTAAAAGTAGCAGTCACATCTTAGCTACGGTTATTCGAATGATACAGAAATCAATAAAATATGGATCACAATCATAATGGCGAAAAAAGACAGTCATTGAAATTGTTACTCACTGTTAAGACAGTTATGGTGCATTTGACGGACGCAAATTGGGGTCTACTTGCAAGGTCAAAATGGTTAATGATTGGGTGGAACTTGGCAAATTTTCCTCCTCATTCTTCGATTAATCTTTTTCTCCTGCGCAGAGCATTCTGCAATCGCAACAAGAAGTGCCTATAGCCACCCTACACTCACCTTCACTTGAAGAATGATTTCAGATCTTCACTACTGATTTTTTAATGATTTACACATCATGCCCTCCTTTATTACGAAATTGTACTTTGAGAAAGATCCGAAGGATTCATTTGTTTACAGAGCCTATCTTTATACGCATGTGTTTACCAGCTAAAGAACTATTAAGAACCAAAGTATGAAACTAGTTATTTCTTTGCCTCCGGCATCGCTGACTTGCAGAGGCACAGTGCAAGTGGAATATATTGCACCCTGTCACTAAAATCGTGCATAAACAACCATTTTAGGTAGTCAAGCAAACAGGCAAGCAAGCAAAATTTATTTTGCTATGTAAATTAACGCTATTAATATTACGCATCTTACTCAAAATAAATTAAATATTATAACAAATTAGTAAATAACTGACTCAGCACGTAGATTCATTAGCAATCATGAACATCAAAAAGATAAAAGTAAATTATGAATAATCATAGCTCTCATGCGACCTCTGATAGATCTATGACATATCACAGGTGATGAACGAAAATTTACATTGCAACAGTATAATTATACTGATGATAACTCAACATACTTGTCCCCCACCACTTTCACTCATAGAGTGTACTTTTAGTCAATAAAATAAACTACCGTTATAATTTTATAAGAAAAATGCACTGGATAAGTAAATTTGTCTTTTGTTGGCAAAATTCAGTGATAATTACACTTCTGTAAAAAACCATCACAAATGAAGGTAAATAGATCAAATTAGTGATTAGATAATTACGCAAAACTATCATGGCCAATGAATAAATGCAACCCAAAGAATAACCGTCTCAAAATCAACTATCGCATGTTAGAAATTCGTTCAAATTGCAACCCCGCAATAAAGGATATACTGTGAAAGAAAAGCATTATTGAAAGAGGTCGAGGTTTGAAAAATCTCTCAGACTTACTTTTATTGTCATTATTAGAAAATAGTACCACAACAATCACCCCCAAACAGCAAAGAGGAATGAAATTAGGAAAGGAAAGAAGCATTGAAAAGACGTATACGTAATGGCTCCCAGTATAACGTCGAAAACTGGAACGTCAATCGCCAAACGTATGGGACGAAGAACTCAACTGTATTCTCATCTTCTACATATTTAAATTTCATTTCCGGAAACTTCTTCAACCTTTAAAACCAATAAATGGTCTTTGTAATAAAGGTTTACTGATTTATTAATGAACAAGTTACTAGAAATCGTTAAACTCTTAACCATGTTACTATTTTGATTTGCTACAATTTAAGAATTGTGTTATCACAATTTGAATGAATGGATATGAGGAAAATCACCTATCAGTAGGCCATTGAAGAGCTCCTTTTTCAATAGTATCAAGAACGGCACTTACAGAAGATCCCTTTTCCAGAAGTGAAACTCGTGAGGCAAAATAATTAATGACCTAAATTTTAAAAGACATCTGACAAAATATTTGAAATCCCTCTTCCTTCAACTACATGAGCAAAATGTAATGGAAGAACAAATTTTAATTTCACTTATAAACATAAAGTGCATATTTCTTTTAGAATGAAAAAGCCATTAGAATTCGACACTCCACTGGATTGCTTACCGCGCAAATATTGCAAATCAAATCTTGAAACATTGGGTGATTTTGAAAAGCATCGAAAAGATCACGTTTATAAAGTATCGTATAGATAAAATGTGGATTTGAGCGAAGATTCGATGTAAGGCAACTATTACAAATTTCAAGTAGTGTACGAATTCCTTCTTCTAGAGCAGTTACATCTTTGTGCTGAAAAAAATGAACATAGTTATAATGAAAACAATGGATATGGTGCAGTGAAAAAAAAATCCTACGTAGTTACATGATTCCTTGTCTTGAATGATGTCATATTCAGCTCGCAATCGCATATTCTCAATCAGTTTCGAATGTCGTCGAGTAAAGACCTCAAAAAACTCAATACTTCTGTTATTTACAGATTTCACTATTCCATAATTATAAGAAATTCTGATTCAAAACCATTTCGTGAAAATTTTTAGATCAGTTATAACTAAACAAAAAAATCAAAGAAAGCTCTCCCTAAAAAACATATACCAACAAAAATTGATTTAACAAACCTCTAACAGTCCAATTAATTTCTGACAAACAACGGGCGCAAGATTTTTGAAATATGACGACATATTAGCTAAAGCCGCCAGACAATTCGTATGCAGATATCGGTCCTAAAAACAAAATTAATCTACAAAAACATGATCAGTAAACTGAGAAATTCCTGAGAGTTAATATATTTATTACGATTAGAAGTAATAGAACAAAATAGGCTTCAAAAAAATACAATAGATACTCCGTATACCTTTGATCAATGAGAGTAGATACAACTTAAAAACAAAAACCTTACAGATTACGAAAAATTTTTTCACAACAAGGACTTTTCCCAATAGAAGAGAAAATGATATATTAAAGTATTTTGATATTTTAAGAAAAGAAATTTCTCCTTTGGAGACAATGACACTAGAAATTTGAAGAGAAATTCATACGAACTTTTGTTTTCACCGTGTTGAGCTGGATAGTTCGAACAAACACCAGAATAATTAAACCACCAAGAGAGATCTCACCTAATGGACGTTCATTACTGAAGGAAGATGTATCTTTTATCATCTGAAAACCCCGTTAGCCATTATTACAACGTAACTGATTACCACAAAGGCAATTTTTTCCACTGTTTTTTTAATAGAAAAGTGCAATCAGTTATGGATGAGATTTCTTAATGACACAAAATTAATAACAAATCAAAGTTACAGCTTTAACCACATAAATTTACATACTGTTTCGTGTGCAACTTTACAGAAAAAGTCATCTTCACTGAGAATAAGAATGACAATGAGTGCTAAATATACATGATGTGCATTACAAGAATTAACCAAACCAGTGCTTTGAGCTCCATTATGAAGAACTGTTAGGACCGGAAGTACCTAAACTTGATAATGCACTATCAGAAGGAGCATCATGAGATTACGAATGAACATAAACGAAGCGTCAACTGCGTAAAACTTCGAAACTTGGACAAAGAAAATGAATTATATCTAACTATCCTAAGCACCTAGTACTGATTACAGCGATTTTAAATTAATATTTACATCATAATCATACCAATTTTTCTAAATTGATTCTTGAAAGGACATAGTTTCGAAAACCAACGTTTCGATGCAACAACGAGTACAAAAATAACATGGGAGATTGTTGATTAACAGTTGCACATAAACGTTCATATAATACGCTGTAATCCAGTTTGAATATACCATTCCCATGACTTTTCAGAGACGAAACTTCTGCAATGTAAAAACGTATAATTTTACAAGTGAAAAAATAACACATCGCAAAATTGGTCTAAAAACATGAAATACAATGATATTTTTTCCTAACGAAATGAATGAACAAAAAAATATACTTCATTTCTTAAAGATAAAGAATAATCAAACACAAAAATGATATTTCAAACTCAATAAATACATTTCATAAAGTGAGCAAATCTGATTTGAAAATCAAAATCTAAATTTACTCAACTACTACTAGTGTAAAGAACTGGATGATTGAAAGGCTCATGTAACACGAAAAATTACAATGTATAGATTTAAAATTTTGTAATACATTAATACATAAATAGAAAAAAGATAGATGTTTACCCTGTGAATTTTGAAAACCTGACAATGATTCCTTGTAAGGGTTAAGTTTAGTTTTTTGTTCCTGATGGCAAGCCAAATTGAGAAGAAGAAGAATAGATAACGATCCAAGAGAGGCTGGCGGAACGATTTCATAATCATCGTCTGATGAAGAGGAATCATCCATACCTGTCACACTCTGCACTGCTGACCAAACAGATGCTTAAATTACTTTATCTGTGGCGGCTTTCTTGTTATATGAGCGCTCAGGAAATTCTCTTCAAATACTAATTAAGAGTACCACTATTATTATCAACACTAGTGTATGTTGCTTAGTTGAAAATCCAAAAGATTCATACATCAGTTGGCAATATAAATGAGCCGAAACATACCTGCAAAACCTAACACAATACTTTCTGGTTCTTTTTCATGTTTAACGATGTACGGAGTATTTCTGTACAGATAATTCGACATTAAGGCACGAGTGATTTCCAAAGATCTTGTTGAACTGAAATTCGTCTTAACTAGCTTTTCATGATGACAGAAATAAGCAAGAATTTTGTAGCATAAGAAACCTGGCTTATTCTGAAAACAGCGACTAACCATCTTCCCTGTATCAAATATTGATAGAAAATATTAGACTTCGTGGCACTCTCATCATAAAGTTGTGAACTGAGTAGAGTCATAAGGCATTTTACAGCTTCAATGTGAATAGTTTCTGTAGAATCACTGCAAATTAAAAAATATGTGTTTGGTATATCGAATGTCCGGAAATTGTTTTTCTAAGTTGTATCAAAAAAATAGGCACTTACTTGACAGGTAAATCAACTACAATATCAATTAAAGCACCCAAAAATTCTTCAGCTTTGTTATTATACAAATTATCAAATTCTGCTTCAACATCGGAATCTTCTCCTAAAATGAAATTAAAAAAAACCTTCGATACACTTTCGAGTATTTGAAATATGATTAGTTTTAAAATGTGCAAAATCAGCACTGAAAAACAGTAAACATCTTTCCACAAAATTTCTAAGTATTCAAAGTGATAATTATAGCCAAAAAATAAAAATGCTTACCTATTTTTTCTTGTGCCTGGGTCTTATCGAAATAACTGACGAATATAGATTCATTAAGTCTCTGGACCAAAAACTTACAGACATATCGAAAAATTGTTAGAGCATTTCCCGCTTGCCACAGAAAAATTGTACTGTAAACTTTTACAGATTGCCTGATAATTTGCAGCCATCAGAGCATTAAAAAATTATATTTCCACTTTTCTTTATGATGTCTTGAAGTAATATGAAAAACAAAGAATAATCATACATTACAGAATCTTCATAAATCTATCGGTAAAATGAATCGGAAAAATCTCAGTATAATAGTAAAAGTAATTTGATATTACTTTTGACAAATTTCAGAAGCCTTCAGCTCTGCAGTTCTTCTCAGAAATACACGAACAAATGAAGCAAAATTACAAGTTGTTGGAGTATTGTACATTAACGACTGAAGACTATCTACTAACGACACGTCAAATTTTTTGACTTCTCGCCTTTAATTTTATGGTTTACAACATTTAAAAAGAAGTTACTATATTTTTAAAAGTGAAAAAAATCTCTTTAACATGCATATATGATATAAAGAGTAACTTTCCAGATCATCCTGAAAACTGAATAAAATGGAAAATAGAGATTCAATAGGACTGGCGCAAGTCATATTTCAAAATTTTTAATATTATATTTAATCGATTTAAAAAGCAACTATTGAAAAAGAAAATGGGAACCTATCGTTACAACTGATGCGAAGATTGAAGGAGAGAAAATGATTCCAAAAAGGATCATTATCACCTATAGGCTGTAAACCAACGAAACGTCGGATATAAGCATTTTCTTCAACAACAGTCTCACTACTGATTACTGTCCCCATTCAAAAATCTTAAAATAATGAACATCAATAGCAGAAGTTTATAAAAGCGCAATTTACAACGGATATATTCTCTAATTTTTATTACCAAACTTAAAATTACAGTATAAAAAGGTAAACTTCAGTTGAATTGAAACAAAAAGTGCGCAAAAAGTTCTGGAGTCATAATCATATGAGCACAGTATTCGTAAGGCCGACAAATTTATTTCAAAATTGCTGCGTTCCAATGCAAAGATCATTTAGAAACTCTTCAAACAGACTTGACACTTATCAGAATGATTGTTTATAATACAGCAAAAATTAATTGACTAATCAGGTACAGTCTCTAAAGCAAACCATCCCTGCAAACAAGTCTGACAAACTTACCTCTTGTAATCACATACGTGATGCAATCGCTGTATGTTTGAGAATTTTTAATTTAACATGCAAAAGAATATGCAGAAAACAGAGAGACAAAACTAAAAGACAACAAGTGAAAAGTGCTCTGAACAGAGAACGTAAGAAAGGACTTGCTGATTACATTTGAGTTCTTTATTTTTTGTAAAACTTCTACTTCAATCAGTCTTAGCACAATAAATAGATGCGTAAGTTTATATCTTACTCGTTAAATTCATTCTGTCATGCTCTATCTTATCCGACTACTGAGTTACTTGATTGCACTGAAAATAACAACTATAGTAACGCTAATAATGCATGCTCTGTCTTAGATGTTGAAAATGAAGCTTTTAAAGTCGCTTAACTTGAAGAAACATAGGAATTTTCCACAGATGCTAGATATTCGCTATTACTTTTAAATATGAAGTGAGATATGTCTTAAAACTTATCACCACTTATAAATTAGTATTTTACTTTTCATTAAATGTAACTTGTATTGCGACTTGGAATTTTTCCTGCCTCATGTTGAAAAAATGTTTTGTGCGACTGTTTTGGAATATCTGACAAGTGAGTACTTTGATCTCAGAGGAGACATGCAATATGCAACCAGTATAATGTTTATTGGAACAAGTTTAAAGTGCTTTGTTTTTAGGTCGAATGTCAGTACAAATGAATTTCGTCTCAAATGTGTAGCTTTTGTAAATTGAGATCAATTTTTTTAATCGGCTATATTTTTCCTTAAGAGATGGATATGATCATTATGCAGTAACGATTTGCTTTATAACTGGTAATAAACTGAGGAATTCCGGAACCTGTTAGCATCTGTGCTCATAAATTTTCGCTTTTCCAAATTTGTGAAATGTGTATTCATAACGGTTGTGTAATGTAATTTTTGCATATGGATAAACAAATATTTATCTTACTTGAAAAGATGCTGTGAGTGTAGCTCTTCCAAGTGTTTCAAGTAATTTACACTACATCATAATTAAACTTTACCCTGTCTTACTTTACAAATTTTTATTGGTGTTTTTCTCATACTATGAAGTATCTTCTTGTTACGTTTCTTTATTTTCACTCTCAGACTTGACAAATTTAGAAATTCGTACAAAAAGCTTACAGGTAGATCAGAAAATGTACATTGTGCTTCATGAGAAGAGAGTACAAAAGGGAATGGTCTCACCAGGGGATCAAATTTGTGGCTGTATTTTCACGCGCTGTTACTTTCGCTCAAAACATACGTAATATAATCGTAAATCAGCGGTTACGTTATCAGCATTAATTATGAAAGTAGTATGGTAATTGATGTGTCTTTTATTTTGATTATAGGCACTTAAGCGTGTATATCTGTAAATATGTGCCGTGCATGATTATGCAGACATATAAGCTGAGGAAAACAAGAGTGCTTTGTTGTTTGTTTTTGACCATGCAGAGTGGAATGTGAGCATAATGTGACTGAGCGGCCTGATATTCATCTTTTGTACGCATATTTACTTTTATTTTTTTTTGTTCATGCATGACGGATTGCTAGTTTGCTGCGTGCGTGATAGTGCGTGCGGTATGCTTATTAGTGCTCACACTTAAATGTGTTAGCATATGAGAAAGATTTCTGTGTTTTGTTGTGTGCGCTTAAGTAATGATACCAAATTTGGTGCAAAAATACGAGAAATTTTTTATTTACAGGTGTTTTTCACTCGCTTTTCATATTTAGCTCTAGAAATATTTCAAACTTTTACTGGGAAATTTTGAAAATGATTAAAAAAAAATATTCAAAGGTATTTCGTGCAAATCTTTCATATATAGAACTTTTGCGATTCAACGTTTTTTTAAATTTTTTTAGATTGAGAATAGCAAATTGGCTTGCCAAGATATCAAGGTGAGATGAACGTAGTATCTTATAATTGTAATTCATTTTTTACTTGAACACTTACACTTAACATTTTTATTCGTCTGTCTATGATTCTATAATTTCATTCATTGCAATTTCGACCGTGATTTAATTTCATTACGTGGTAATATAGCAGAGTTGAAATTCTAGCTCGGTTTCATTTAATAGAGCTAATTTGAATTTATTTTGTTATTACTTGTGTTTTTGTAATAAAAAATTTGCATTTGAGGACAAACCCGTTGAGAAAATATTTACTAAATGATATTCAACAATGATGTTCTATATAGAGAGCAAGAAAAGCACTGAGAAATGAGCAGTTGAGAAAGTTTGCGGAGTTGATTTTTATTCACATCTAAACTATACAAATGCACCAATTTATTTTTTCCCTTCATTTTGTTCGTATTAAACAATCGTCTTTTTATTATCGAATTCGATTCTCAATTTCAAGTCTGAATTCCAAAAAATTGCATCTCGTGCACTGAATCGAACTTTCACTGCAGTAAATTTTCAATTTTATACAGCAGTATATTTAGAATGGAAAATTTATCTTCAAAAGCATTTGCACTGCCTAATCTACAAAATTTGTCGTCAGCAGTTATAGTTTTCTATGATTAATATCGTGGAAAGTTTTGCAGGTCTTGTACGAATTGCTAACAAAATTAAAAATTTCGAGGAACTAAATAATGTCAAATGGTCGCGTTTGCAGTCATCGAAAATCAGAAACAGATCTTGAACAGAGTAATGCATCTTAATTAGGATGCAAAAAATAGTACAAAAGCGTAAAGCAGTTGTTAGGAATTAGGATCTAACTAAATATTATCAATTATAAAATGAGTCGATATTATTGGGTTATTTAACTGATAACAATATGATTAAAAAATGAACGACATTGGGTTTAGTTACAAATTAAAAAAATTGATTTGATTGGCATATAAATTGAAAAGTTCAGCTAATCTATGGATGCATAGTTAATATCGATAGAGTTAAGCTACTGATGTGATCTATGTATGCAGTAATGATATTGAACTAGCTTCATTTCCAGCGGAGAAGTCAAAGTCAAGCGTGAAAGTATTAAGCGCAAATATTAAGAGTGAAGAAGGACAATTGGTCTGCAGTGTAACTGAAAACGAGGAAAATATCCTTGTAAAAAATTACGTGTTTCATTATTTTTTCATTTAAGGTTTCCCTGAACTCCGTCTTTTCATGAATGTGATGTTTTCATAAATTTGGTTTAAAATAGAATTAATGAAACAAAATATATATTTTAGGGTTCAGGATTTACATCCTTTAACGGTTATCTTCTTTGCAGGCAGCTTCTGCTGTTAATCTTGAGGTAGCAGCTGTTAAAAATAAGACTTGTGAAATGAACAAACCGAGAACTATTGTATCATTGATTAATAATCGGTAGAATTTAGATTAGAAGTTATATCTGTTGGTGTGTGAAATGGAGACTGTTTGTTTGCCACAAGTCGAGTTTTAAAAAGTTGTTTCCGAGAAAACGTTGAAAAACTGTTTCAGTTCCTTGATTCTCACAATGTTTATGTTATTTGACTTTAGATATGAGGTATTAGACAATATCAACTTTGGAGGTTACGGATTTATATTTACTGCCCGTGATACTTTTACAGGAAAGAAAGTGGCAGTCAAGTTGATCAGTAGTGAGCTTTTTTCTAAAAAAATTGAAATACAGATTTTGAGACCTTCTAAAATTCCGTGACTCAGATATTAATGATAAAATCAATTTCTTATACGATTGTTGCAAACTGATTCTTTTATCATATATCGTGAGTTTCCCAAGTCTTTTTTTTCATTTTTACACTTCCAGGTTCAGTCGCGAGTGCCAACGTATATTTGCAGCATGAATATGAGGTATACAATGCTATGAAAGTAAGTAAAGGTATCCTACTTAACGTTAAATGCTTTGAAGCTAATGTTTTCAACTCAGATTGCGCCTTGTCCAATTTTAGAATGATTTCTAGAGGAGTAATTTTATTTTGAAGGGCGAGTTCGGAGTTCCGGAAGTTTACTGGTCGGGTACTGAATTTAACCACGAAATCCTGGTCATGCAGTTACTTGGGCCTTCACTTTCTCAACTTCACAAATATTGCAATCGTAATTTCTCTGACGAGGTATACATGTCTTTTTGAGAACAGCATTCATTATTTCAGGATAAATCTTATCTTCGTGTGGGGAATATTGCTTGTTCTGATTTTTATAAAGCCATGATTTGGCGTGGAGAACGTATTTTATTGTCCTACTCGTATCTGAAGCATCTCAATCAAATTTTGCTTCATTCCTGGAAATATTCCATTTTTAATTGATTACCATTGTAGACAGATATTTTGGATTGTTAATTTGCTCATGATAAAAAAGTATAATGCATACCGGGCATGATGAAAAAACTGTTGATTGAAAATACTTTAGACTATAAGTCAAATCGGACAACAAATGCTGCATCGCCTTCAGATTCTGCATTCAAGTGGATTCGTGCATCGTGATGTAAAACCAGATAATTATCTTATGGGTATCGGAGATGATGAAGAAAAGTGTTATCTTATCGATTATGGACTTGCTCAGCGTTACATGTTTTGTTTTTCAGAATAATAAAAAAATATCAACTTATTTTTAATGTATAAAAATAAAAAATGAAACAGTGAATTATATATTTGCTTCCTTTGAGATCTGATGATGAAGCTCGAATACACATCGCTTTCGAGAAAGAACGCCGTTTAATTGGCACTACCACATACGCAAGCATTAATAGTCATAAAGGATATACTTTGAGTCGTCGTGATGATTTAGAAAGTTTGGGTTATATTTTGATAGAATTTATCAATCGTAGTTTACCATGGATCCGTGAGGTCAATCATTCATAATTTTATCCTCTTTTATTATGCGATGAACTGTTCAAAATTTGTTTCTTTGCAATAATCACATATTGCGTTGTTGAAGAATATACTACCTTTCAATAGTTAAAAAAAGACAGTTCATGAAAGACAGTGTCTTCAGTTATAAAATTTTGATCACGAAATGATTTTTTGCAAAAGCAAAAGACAGTACTGGATAGAGTAAACTTTAAGCAAAAAACATTATTGAGAAAAGCAAAGTCAGCAAGAAAACAAGTATTCAGTTTGGTAAGAGCTATGAAAGAAGGTATTAAGTGGGGTTCTGTCTGTCCAAAAATGGCGGATTGGATGGAGTACTGCAGTAAACTTGGTTTCGACGAGAAAGTATGAAGCTTACTTTCTAATAATTCTTAAATTTTCTGTAACTTATTGCAAACATTTTTGTTCAGAATATAGTTGCATGCGCATTACAGCCCGATTATGATTATTTGAGAAAAATCATAGAGTCAATTTCGCGTCCATCCGAAAAATCGAGTTTTAATCAAGAGTGTGACCAGGTCATATTATATTCCAGTTTTATTTCCTCATGATGCAATTTGTTTTTGATACAGAATGTTTCCGCTCGTGTGAGCTTTATTTTGAAAGTAATCGAAATTTTAACTTCTTTCTTCTAGTTATAGACATTTTCAGCAGGGACAGCAAACTACATTCCGTAAGTTACACGTATCTTTTAAAATCGACCGATGACATCAAGAAGAGTGCATGAAAAATACATTTTCTCTTTAATAGTCATATGGTATTCATAAATATAATAAGTGAACAGGTTCAAATTTTTTGAATAATGGGATTTAAGGAAATGAAATTTTTAATTCAACATATGTATATATTTAAAAACAATGCTTCTGAAATCATAATTTTTTGATAAAATTTAGCAAGTGTATGAAAAGTTTAAACTATTTTTTAGCTCCAAATTTAGACAAGTCTGATGAAGAAACAAAGCGTTACAGCTGGATAATTCTTCGAGAAAGCTCTTTCAATGCAAAACATACTTTCGAAAGATTGTACAGGTATTTGCATCTGCACATCCATACAAAATTTTGGTCTAATTTTTTAAAAGCATCAGTTTACATCAGTATTAGCTAATAATGGTTTGAAACTTGTTGGATTCATAATCAATAAAAATTGATTCTTGCTTTATTTAGAGAACGTACATGACATGTTACATGTTTTTATGTAGAATAAGCAGTAAAGTCTACTTATTTAGTCATCAATACTGGTATATCATATTTTGCGCGCTTTTTATGTTAAAATTATCATATATTGGAAAAAATGGAATTTCAGTGTTTTTAATTGCAGTTGGACAAAACAAATTAAAGATGAAGATTAGCTAGCATTACATGAATTTTCTGATTTAAGAGCAGATTTGAAGATAATTTTTAAGATACACTTGGCAAAAAATATAGCTTTGTATATTGTTATTGTTATCTTGAAATGTCGTAGCTTACGATGTTTTGATTTCATATATCTCGATGTTTCAATTCCTTAGTCATCATCATCTTTATTGTAATGCTCTGTTTGAGATTTCAAATTGCACTAATTGCTTCTGTCCACACAGTACCAGTTTTCCATTGAACTTTAAGATATTTGAAATTTTGTCTTTGTAGTATTTTTGTATAATAAGTGATGGCACAAGTCTTGGTACACTTGATGCTTTTTTTTTTGATTGATAAACTACTTTGATGTAACAGCGTCAAAACTACAATTCATATACAAAAAATGTGCTGAAATTTGCATATCAGGATCAGTAAGGATGCCAATCTTAATGTTTATAAATCAGCTTGATTTGAATCTTTTATACACTTTTAGTTTTGATAACGGAGTGGTATGAGATAAGAAAATGAGTTAGAGTAGAGCAAGTTAGGATCATGACAATCTTTTCAAGCTATAACTGCTTAAGTAAGTGGAAATATACCCAGTTCAATGTTGTGATTGATGAACTTCTAAAGTAAAGGTAAATTTGGTGACACTTTTCTAGATTATTACAGGCAAACGAGATAAATTGTCACGAAGGAAGAAGTACCGTCAATCAGCCACTAAAATAGTGTATTATGCTTTAGAAGCTTTGTATATCAAATCTGACTTTGATAAAGTAAATATTTTGGCAAAAGTTGCTTAGTTTTGCCGTTTGAAATTAGAATTTAATTAAATGAAACGATAATTTTGTGTTTTACATTTTGATGATTGTTTCTCGTCCATATATTATTGAAGGAATTAATTTTCTATGAGATTCTTTTAAAGAATTATTCAAAAAGATAAAATAGTTGTTTAAATGATAGTACTCAGCAAAATGCATTTTACAGAAAACCTTGAAATTTCATGTAGTTTACATGTGAATTTTTAACCTGAAATATATTGTGGTAGCGTGAATAAAATTTTAAAATTTGCATAGTGGGAATTGACCCATGTGATATCTATGCTCAGATGATAAGAAAAGTTGCATGCTGGTCGACGATGCATTCGTTTCAAAAATTAGTGGGAGCCATAGAAGGAATGGCATTTAGGAAGATTTTATTCTTCTGCAATTAATGCTGCGAGTAAAATAGTCGAAATGAGATGATTTTCAGCTTTAAAAGCAAATGGGTTTTGAACAAGCTTTTCAAATATGTTTTGATAAAAATTGCATGTCTTTAGGTCTTGAGCAATTGATAAATTTCAAGTTTTTGTGGAAAATATAAAATCATTACATGATTTTCAAATAAACAAGTAACTTCATATTTTCAAATAATGTAATGTAAACATTGTGTATGTAATTATTTGCAAGTCTGATGTAAGCTTGAAATTATATAAAAAAAGAATCATATAGTTGTCAAAATTATTTGAGGTACAAATCAAAAAAAGTGGTTACAAGTAGAAATGCCTGTCAGATTTTGAGAAGTTTGGTAAATTTCTCTTGAATTAATTTTTTTAAAGGAATGCGCAACTTATTTTAGCGTTTTAAATTTCACAGCGATGAAATGAAATGCATAAGCCGTTACCTTTGTTGCTTTCAGACTTTTAAACTTTCTAATTACTATAAATTAACCGGCATAAATCGGGATTTGTTTGGTAACTTTGAAAAATATGCATTATTTTTGAGAAAAATACGTTGACTTACTAGCATAGTGCAGGCACTTTTGACCAGCATCATTGAACGAGCAATTTTTAACTAGTCAACGCATTCTGTTTCCATTTTGCGTTAACTCAGTAGAGGCTATTTAATCAGGCTTTGCAAAAGGTCTCAAATGCCGTCCTGATTCAGCACTGAATTCAAAAAAAAATTGCTCCATCTGGTCTTTACCTTGCTTGATGTAATGAAATTTTAGCATTTTGAAGTTAAGACAAAATAAATTTCCTCGTTTTCAAGTGTTTTTAATTATCATGTAATTAAGTTATGAGCATTTTGTTACATGATATACGGCAATCTTTGTTTATGTCGCATAAGTAAATCTTTTGATTCATTATTACTTTGTTGAGTTATGCTGCGTAGCTATAAGTTTTCCGATTGCTTGCTATATAAAACTGAAACAGTAATTTATTTTGCTTTCATAGTGATTCTGTGAATTCTATGAAATACCTCGAAGGCTAAATAAATTATTTTGATTCTCCTTCATAGTACTTTTATAATTCATGATCGCCTTCCTTACATTATAACTATATTTCTTTTAACGCATAGATCCTTTGGAGTTAAAAAGATAATTTTAACTCATGAATTTTGTTGGAGTGCTGCAAAAAGTATATCATTGCAATCATAATATTTTAACAAATCTCACTGAGTGTAAAGGAAATTGCCATCACAAAACTTCTGCAAAATAATAAAAATTGTTACTCCTTTAATACTTGTGCTTGCTGAGTTAATTTGTACATTTATGTACATGCTGTGGGAAAGATAGAAACATTATGACAACAGCCTGAGCCATGAATCTAATATTTTCATTTTTTTATATGAAAATTGAATACTTCAAAATCATGTTAAGCACATTTTATACTTTTTTCATCAATATCTTCCATTATTTTCGTTTATGCCTGAAACTATTAGCATCCTTTTACAACGAACATACTTATCTGTTTCTCGAAAGTATTTTCTTGAATTTAAAAATTAAATCTAAACTAACTACCTTGCAAATTTTGCCGCTTTCCACTAAGAACTAATGTAATTTGTTAGTGTCAGAAAAATTGTCTTTTTTAAAGCTGCTGGCAGTTAAAAATAATTTGTTAAGCACATGCAGCATGAAAGCATGAATGAACAGAAGCATTTTAATACATTTAATCAAAACTAAAGTGTATCGCATACTGAAATTAATGTTTTGGCTTTATAACTTGAATTCAAATATATTTACTTCTAATAATCAAACTTTTCATAACTTTTTGAAATGAAACTGAACTAAACTTTTACATTTATCAAAAGATTTCTTAAATTATAATTTGGCATAATTCTATCTAGTAATATTCAGGAACTCTCACTTTTCAGTTTATCACTTAGTGATAGACTCAAAATGGGCAAGTTCTAAACTAGTTAGGGCGAAATTTTTATCCTTCATTTAGAAGTTAAATTTGAAGATCATTGAGATTGGCCATTTATTCTCAATTGACCTAATTCATTAAACGGTGTGATCCCGTATTTTTGCACGTTTTAAATTTGAAAAATTTGTAACATAAGGAAAAACGATTCCTGAAAGAGTTTTCTTTCAGTGTTTTTTCCGTTTTTTACCTTGAAGAATTTTTAATATGAAAAAATTCTGTCGCAAGTGGTTTGTTTTTGTTATTTATTTTTTGCGTTCTCTGATTTGAAGAAGTTATGAGATCAAAGTTACCTTTTCAGAAACCAAGTATTTTATTATTTATTATAATTATCAATTTATATAACTGAGAAGCTATGAATCACATTTTTTTATCATAAAGTTCTAATTTTGAGAAATTCAAACTTTTTTATAAAAGTACAATGAAGAGAAATGGATCTGAGAGAATAAGTAAATTAAGCTTTGACTGCTTTGAAATAATTGTTTGTCATGAAAAACAAGTTGTAATATGCTTAAAATTAAAAGTTTGAGTAAGCAATTAGAAGTACTATGAGTACGACGTACGACTATTTGGTATGCAAGTTATTCAAATGTGCTTTAAAAATTCTGAAAGGAATGATTCTAAAACTGCCAAATATATAAATAAATATGATAGTAGCTGTATTAAGTTGATTATTAAAAATTTTAAATTATAAAAAAATGACTATTTGACAATTCAAAGATTAATCAGTACATGTGTAATTAAAGATGTGCGTTAGTTTGTTTGAGCAAGGCTGTGATAATTAATATGCTTAATCAGTGATTGGGTTTTAATACAGTCCATTTCAGACAAATATATTTATCAATAAAAGATGCAAATTAATTTCACCAACAATAAAATAAATTATCATTAAAAAAAATGTTCTAGCCTATGTTTTGCTCTGGACAGCATAAGTTTCTAAATATCTTAAAAGAATAAATCATATGTATTAAAAATTCGGAAGAAACTATAACTGTTGTGTTGGAAACGTTGCTTCACTTCAAAACCACCACAATTATTTAACTAAAAGTAATTTTATAACCATCAAAAAACTTTCAAAATTCTTTGTAGAGTGCCAAGCTCGCAAATCTTTCACAATACTTTGGCAACAATAAAAAATTTAAAAACTATAAAATTATTTATAACCATGCAAATCTTCTGCAATGCCTCAAAACTGTTCTTATAGTTGGGATTTCATTGAAAAAGCAGTCATTGATATTATACAAAATTCTAAGAAAGATTAAAAAATTCATTAATTATTGTACTCTTAGAATTCAGTACAAAAAAAAATTCAGAATCAATGTTGAGCATGATTTTTTTTCACTTCATGAAACCCTTAAGATGTCTTGGTGAATAAAATTTCTTGAAACAATGTTGTTGACAATACTGTCATGCGTTTACAACCTGAATTGATTCTGGTTTCAAGCAACAACTTATTCTTTCGATGGTAGTAACATTTTTCGCAGATGAAAAGAGTCAGAAATGAGCACCTATCCATTTCATTTACTATTGCTACTACTTTTATTAGTCGTCCCAATTCTTATCCATTCATCGTTTGTAATTCAAACAAACATTCATAATTTTTTGCCTGTACTTCACAAGCAAGAAACAATACGTGATAAATGCAAAGCTTACGTAAAGTACCATGTGAATGAAGTAAATTGCATATAAATAAGATGCAATAAGCATTCATGAATGATCCCATTGCCCACCTGATTGACATGTATCTTATGAGAATGTTCTGGATTATAAGTCAACAAATACCATTTACATGCGGTCATATCAAACTTCAATAAATCACTTGAATCTTTCATAAATATTTGTGATTTTTAAATACGCTTTTTGTGATTAGTGTCAATAATTAAAATTTAACATAAATGATTGAGAACAATATAATATTGTGTAATATTTGCATTAATTTAATAGCAGTGCTCATTAGAAAGGTTTGTTAAACAAGTTTGAGTTCTCTCGTTTACATGCCGAGCAAAATTAATGCACAATTTAAATTGAAACTAACAAGTTTGAACTATTTTTCTGAGAAATGCCATTGTTGCATTTACTATGCGTGATCGTACATTATTAAATTAGTAGCGTTAGTTTTCGTAGTTTACGATTATAATCTTTTGTTTTTTTGATCAAATTTTGTTAAGCAACAGAACTTGATCAAAAATTAGTATTTCTCTAGATTACGATATGAAAGTTTCAATCGAAGGTTCTATTGATTTTGAAAATTGCAGTAACTGCTCAAAAATTTTTGCAGATCACAAACAGAAAGTAACAAAGTGATTATTTCAAGAAAAAAACTATAAATAATTAATCAAACTAATAATTAATCATTAGAACCTTCCTAATAATGAAAAAAGCAATGAAAATTGTTACTTTTTGATTCAAAATTCTTGCATTTTTTGCAGAAAAATGAAGCTTTCATTCGGAATTCAATATATATACCTTCTTGCAAAATTGATCACAATTTTTGGTGAAACTGCTGATTGGACTCTCTTCTCGAAAGAAATCACTGAAAATGAACAATTTTCCTCTTCCTTGTCAGTTGAATGTCTGAAAAATTTGAAAAATGTAAGCGTGAATTTTTTAAATTCACTTTCACTCATTTAAATTTTTAATTTTGAGAATATTATAGCTTGCTTTTCATAACAAAGAATTATTCGAAAACAATCAAAGCTAAATTAACTTATTCTCTCACATTTATTTTCGGGATAAAATTCAAAAGAAACACTTGAGTTATTGAAAAAATCGAGTATCGCCAATTAATTATTTAAAGTAAAATGAAAAAGCTGTTTCTGTGCCGCTCTTACTTTTGTTAACAGTAACTTTATTTTTGCACTGTTACCATGAAAAAATAGCTTGCGCTTAAAATAGTCAAGTTTGAGTCACACTGAAATTGCTGACAATCGTTAATTATTAGTGGTGATTGGCTAAATCTAAAGATATTAGGAATTAAGATATCATCTAAATTAAATGTTTTTAAACGAATTTATTCTACCAGGTATATTGTCATAATAATAATAATAATAATAATAATAATAATAATAATAATAAT